ACAAAATTCGCTTTGACTTGTAGCTTCCAAAAGGTGATTAGGACGCTTGCATTTGGTGACCGTGAAAAAATTGGCAATTCATTTTATTTCAAAATTTTTTGTATGGTTTGATAGCCAGCTCTATAAGCTTTAATTTGATATAGGGGCTTAGGTATCTACAGCTTAAACCGGACGCGCTACATCGCTTGGACGCAAGACACCCCTGAAGGTATACGGTAACCTTAAATCCTGGACTGCAAAAATTAAGCAAACACTGTTTTTCTTTGCACAATCTTTCGCGCAAAGCCCGTGCGTAATAAAGCTACCATACTGAGATTCCAGATAAAATCTCTTGCATTTTCTAGAAAAAATAATTTCTGCTACAGTTATTAAACTTGAAAATCACAAACCTTGAATATAACGCTTAGTTTTGAAACTAATGGCAAGATAACCTCTTCAAACAAAGCCAAGATCTTTTAACGTTATTAAAATTTATTAAACCAATGCCTGACTCAGCAAATTTATAACTATTAAATTTATTTCCTTCTATACACATTTTAATTACCAATTTCATTTTTGCCCACAAAAATTGCTTGTAACCAGGTGGTCGTCTACAATAGTCTACACGTGTTTTGACGATAAGTTATGATCCTAGTTGAAATCTTCGGCAAAAACATGTTGACGATAACATATTTTGCACCATCGGGGGTGAACCCTTCTAAAATCTAAGCGTATTACTGGAATCATGTGTAAACTATCTCCCAAGACACAAAAATAGGATCGTTTTGCGATTTACACACTCTTTCGAAACTATACAATGTTTTAGGGACGAATGTGTTACAGGGCCTAAAGCATTATAATAAAGCGCCTATCTTAATTAAGAAATAGAAAACATGTACCGTGTTTCTGTCGAGTTATAGAAACACAAGTGGGAGTTTGGGAGAACGAGAAATGCTGTGGGAACACGAACCGCAGGCGAGTGTTTCCACAGCTCTTTCGAGTTCTCCCCAACTTTCACGAGCGTTTCTACAACTAGACAGAAACACGGACAACATGTTTTCTATTTCTTTTAGAAAACACCGCGACGAAAAAAAGGAAAACTTGTTCACTTTGATTATCAAAATGTAAATTCTCTTTGCTCGCGCCATCATTACGTCAACACCTCGTGCTTAGTTCAGTGTTTCTATCGAGTTATAGAAACACGATGTCGAACCAATCAGCGCGCGTATTTTCTTAGGACTGTTTTCTAAAGCAATTTAAAACTGCAGAATTCATACTGGCCGCAGTATCACCGAAATGATCCAATCTTGCCCGCTCGTGTGAAGTCTGGGACTCCATGCTAACGACGTGATGCGTGTGAGTAATAAGCTATCAGAAGAACAATCCGAAGAACTAGGCCATCACGGTTGCCACAGATATCAGTTGTCAAAATTCCTCGACTTTACCCACGGTTTGCGCGCTTTGAAAAGTTTAGCCTAAATTTTTCAAGTTCGTCGTTTGTAATCCGTGTTAATGTTCTCCATCCTTAACCATCCCTGTTCCTTCGTGGTTTATTATTATTATCTCTTTGGTGTTTTCCCTCTTACTAAAGTGCTATTAGTATCACCCAACTAGTGGACTAATGCAAATCCTGCATTTTAATTGGCTACGCTACTAGAGGGCTATTAGCAATAGTCCTCGAGTAGCGAACTTGGCGCAATCGAGCGTGACGCTTTCTTTCGGTTTATTCCCAAATAAATATTTCTTCAACTTGCATTTGCCAACTTTATTATTGCCTTTTCTGTCCGACTAGTTGGATGATACTAAAACAATTAGACCCTTCGCCCTTAAGGGCCACGGGTCTAATTGTTAATTACATAGATGCCAGTTTTCTCACGGTTTAGCGAAGTTCTCTGAAAAAAATATTTCAACCTTTACCTTATCAAATTAACAGCTTCTTTCGCCTTCTCATACTACGGACAAATTTAGACTGTTCTCCAACTGATCACTGAAACGTTGTATGCCAATATAAATTTGATTCAACTTGGATGCGTCACTCAAAATATGTCTCGAAACATTATGTACAAATAGCGGCTAAAACACTGCCACAACTTCACTAAATAGATGAAAACTAATTAACTAACAGCATCTTGAGTTATTCCTTCGTGAATGCACAGAATTATCCAAAGTTTCTAGTAAACTTTTCAATTAGTTGCCTCTTACAGCCGACAAGATTTACGATAAAGATGAGGCTGGTAAACAGCGAGAACCTTAAACTATTACCACCAAAAGCTACCGTAAGAATTTCACATACTACAAAGTACTAATAATCTGATCACCACCACTAATTCACTGAAAAAATACAGTATAAGTATATTACTTTTCTTTCATCCTTCTTGTTTTCTTTAGTTTAAGCTTATTTAAACACGTGATCAAATTCCAGAAGAAGGAATTCTATAATCTGGTTTTGATGCACCATATTGACGGCTATGTCGCCTGAATCATAGCGCGGCCACATGAGATTCGGACCCCACACAATGGCCAGATTCTGTGCAGTCATACGGTTTTCCTCACTCTGATCCATCAATCTGCAATAATAAAATCAATAACCAACAATGTACCCGGCCCCAGTGGCTCGAAGGCTGGATAACGCTATCCAGTGGATAAGTAAACCACGCCATCCACTGGATAGTGATTTATCCAGTGGATAACGTTATCCACCCGAGCCAGTAATTTAAAGAGGTTTGGGATTACTCCCTCTACACTAGGCCTTCTTTTTCGGGGGGAGTGTCGCAAGTTAACGATCCAAAAGGGAGGAGTAGTTGAAAGAGTAAAAACAAAGTTTCGGGTCTAAATCTAATGAACCTGATGACTGGCAGATGACAAACGAAATTTATCCACGGAGTATATACTGATGTTTAATCAACGCAATTTTTTTCTGAGAAAAAAGGATGACATTCAATTTAACTGCTTTATTGGACAGTGGACTGGCTGCTAATTAGTAGACCACTGGAAGTGACACATATTTTGTTTCTCTCGAAACAGGCGTACAATGCGAAATAAATGCCCCTTAGAAACTTGACGAAATTAAAGTACACAGTGAAAAAAATCTATCTACGTTGACTAGTTATTGTTCAATTCTGCCTTTGAAAAATTTACCCAAACTTGTTCCAAATTGCAAAACTTACTTTCGTAAATGACGCAGCAATAATTTAAGAGTTTCCCCATTGACTTTTGGCATCTGAACTGCCAGTGACCTCATTGCAGTTAACTTGTCTTTCCGTGTGGTTTGTTCTGTGAAGATACACAATTAGAGAAAATCAGGTCTTGTATTCATTCTGAGAATATCTGTGCATGTATGTGTGAGCAGCATAGGTGCACCCCCTTTGGTTGAAGGTGTACCTCGGAAAAATCACGTGCGATATGATTTTCTGATAGACCAATTTAAATTGCTCTATCAGAAAATCATATAGCACGTTATAAGAGTGAGAACTCTAGTTGTTTAGAGTTCGTGCTCTTGTTCACTTATTCACAAGCTATACTCAACTCAGTTACACCTCATTGACTACTTTTCTCATGGCAAACTTAACATCATGGGTTACTTTCGTTATGAGTACCTAAAAATAAGTCCCCCCTCNCCCCCCCCCCCCCCCCCAACAACAACAACAACAAAAATGACCGGCTCTTCCTCATAAAAGAACAAAACGGTACGCGAAACACGCGTATGCACAACATAACCAAGGCGATATCCAATGCGTGTCTGCGACAAGATAATGTCGAAAAAGCAGACAAAGCTTGTCATATGGCAATACAAGCTAGAGCGTAATCCTTAAGAAGCAAAGTAGAACTAAGTATAACAAAACAATCAGTGCATTATTAAAAATGATATGAACAATAAAAAGTTCCATGACTCACTTATTGCCTCAACAAACCCACTAAAGAAGTCATAGGGAATAAGAGGCTCGGGGAGTTCTCTGAAGTACAGCTTTAGAGACCCAGTTAGTGCGTGCACATCATCAAAAGGTGGCTCACCAAGAACTATTTTCTCCTCTACAACAAACAATATTCAAATATTAATAAACGACTAAAAGACGATTATTAGAATATTTATTACAGTGTCATTGATCAAACTTTCTTTTAAACAATTACACAATGTTAACCAAACAAACCTTGGTCAACCATTATTCTGAGCTTCTGCACTGTAGAGACATTTCCACATACTCTGTATAAACCATCATATGACAGACCTGCACGAAAAGGAAAACTAAAAAGCTTAGCACAAATTCTGCAAACAGCAGTCAATGATACAGAGTCTTTACCCGGTGACAAAACAGAAGCACAATTAAACGTAATTACAGAATAGAGAAGTTGAGTGAAAATAATACAATCTCTAAATTACTGTATAAATCGGAACGTAACGTAATGTGAAAAATATAACAAGAGAAAGCAGCAGGAAGAAGTCGAGGAACTGTAAACTGAACAGGTTTTTTCGCACGGTTCCTTCAAAACAAATTTAATGTTTTGGACTACTGTACACTGATTTTGTTTACATGGTTCGAGTTATCGAGGGTAAAATTATATAGAAAATGACCTAAAGGGAAACGAAAATTGCTTCGAGTTATCGGGAGGTTTGAGTTATCGAGGGTTCGAGTTACCGAGGGTTCGAGTTACCGAGGGTTCGAGTTACCGAGGGTAAAATTAAAGTAAACGTATGACGGAAATCCAGGGGAAATCGATTTTTGGTTCGAGTTGGCGCGAGGTTCGAGTTATCGGGAGTCGACTGTAAGAACACGTCTTGGGAAGAAGCAAAGAAGTTTATCGAATATCTTGGACCAAGACTGGCGAAAAGAGATGGTGACGCCTTTGATTAAAGAAAAGGCAAGAATCATTCTTCACTTCATGTAATAAGAGAAGTGATTCGCAGTCACAGCTCACCTACCACCTCTGTTTTCCTTGTCCCAAATGTGCACCAAACACTACAAACCTTAACTCAAGTGCGACTAAACCCCAAACGTTTATCTCCTTTAATAAAATCCACTTTTCCCAATTGCATCACCTTTCCACAGGCGTTTAAACTTGTTATTTCTGTGCCCACCAACATGCAGTGTTGGAACCTTCTTACAAAGACAACCTCCATATAGAAGCAATTAATTACGTGTCAAACCACTGTAGAGAAATACTTTTATTATTATACTCCACTCATCTGGCGTTATTAAGCCTACCTCTCTTTTCAATAGCAGCAATGCATGAACTGACAAAGACAGGCACTGAAGTTTTCTGTCTTTCACACAGATGTCCGATGTGGCAACCAAATACACTTTCTGAAAATTTAAAAGAGAAATGACATAACATACACAAGAGTTCCTATGTAATCTTCTATGGTATGCTGGTTCAAAAACCTGAACACATCAGTTATCCAGAGTTTACATTGTAGAAAGTTTGTGTCAGCCAACACCATTTGGGATTTTGCTGTAAATTTAAACCTTCAAAATTCCATGCTGAACAAAAAGAGTTACCTCTAATACACGCATGGGCATTTTCCAACAGATATCTTCTGTTCTATGTAACAGACAGTTTACCAAGAAATAATAAAGCTTGAAGTGAAAATATCCGGGCAAAATTTCAAGTGCCAAGGGGGCTTATTTTCCTGCCTAGATTCTTTGCTCACTAGATCTCCACAAGCTGTCAAATGTCAAAACAATTCTAATGGCTTTAAACAAAAACTTATTGCAACATGGTAATGAATAATTTTCAAAGAAGACTGGAGAACAGCATTTGTGGAACACCCTTGCATATTCCCCCCAGAACAATGAAAACTAAAAATTAAAAATAAACAGGAAAGAGTAAAAAAGTAAGGAATTATTAGAAATACTTATAAAAAATTAAGAGAACGTAGTATATAAAATACACAGAAATTCCCTGCCATCAACCAACTAAACTTAAGAAAGTGGAAGTACTACAGAATGTAATATCCTTGCGTTGATTTTAATAAAATGGTGTTAAAATACCCTTTGTTCTCGACACCTGCCTGCATGATGTAGTGTAAAATCGAGAGAAACACAAATCACATTCTCTACACAACTACCATTGTAAAGATAAGTTACCTTTGATGATTCCTTTCTTCTCCAGTTCCTCGATAGGAGGTCTTTTTGAAATCAGCTTGCGTAACTTGTCTTTGATTTTTGTTTTGTTCTCATCTCTTTCACTCACTGAAATGATTTCAAGGGCGACACTTTGTGTTAAAATACATGCGTATTACTTTAACTATTAATTCCAAATCCCTGTTGAAATGGATTTTTTGTTGTTGTTTCAGGCCGTTTCCACAAAGACTGTCAGTTTTGGTTGTAGATTTAAAAAAGTCAACACGTCGGATAAACCACTGGCATTTAGCTCCATAAACCTTTGAGCAGTATTTTCGTGTGGTACTGTTTGCTACTGCCTATACAAGTTACCAGGTACCGGTCCTGTTGTCAGAGATTCTAACATTCAAGTTGTGTCTAGCGAACCATTCAAATGAAAGCTATTAAGCAGTACTTTCATGTGGTACTGTACATTGCATGCAGTACAAAGTGGTCATAAATTTTACAACAGCGGATGCAACCCAAGTTTGTTACCTGATGTCAACTGAAAGTAATAATTAAAAGCAGTGTTATTATGTGGTGCTGTTTTCATGCTGTACAAGGTTGTTCAGCCACTGAATGTATTGGTATATCTACCTCCTCTTCTACTGCGAGTGCGAATCAGTTCTACTGGCTGTAAGGTGTTTGGTGTCCCTGGCTCCTCTTCTGTTGGTGTCCCTGGATCGTCAATAACTACAATAGCGGAAAAACAAGGAATTAAACAATCAATAAACCTTCCAAAAAAGTTTTCTAAGGCCCCATCAACACTACGCCGGGGAAATTTGAAAACACTGCTTTATTTCTACAGTTAGGCCTACCATCCACCCTAATCCGTCACGAAAATGGAGCTTTTAAAAAATGCTCTTCAAACTGGAGGAGTTTGAAGACACCAGCTTTGCATTTTAACATGGATGAAAAACATTTTGAAAAGGAGTCTTTCAAAAATTATGACATCACGACAATTGTGTGATTTCCCTGTGTGTATTTTCTTCTGTCAAGTCCAAAATAACTGGCAATTGTTGCATTTTCAAATTTCACTGGCGCAATGTGGATGGAAAACAATTGATGCGTTTTCAGAGTGAAAACTTTTCAATTTTTTCCAGCGTGTACTTAAGTATTCAGTTTGCAAATAATTCAGAATTGCCTTAGCTTTGCAATGCTCAGTTGTATAATGGCTGCAAATGTCAAACAGGAATGACCAGCAAGGTTCTTGTTATTCATATTAAGTCAGTATAATCATAATTACCTTGTGGTGGCTGGTATTGTACTGGCAGTGGCTCTTCTTCATTCTAAAAAGCATGGAGACAAAACATATTGTAAAACAATGTAATTCTGCCCAAACATTGTGTATTTTGCTGCAAGCTAAGTAACAAAAGAAAAACAACTTTCCTATACACTTTTCCAAGAAGCAGGAATATGTTGTTCCATAGAATATAAATACCCCCATGGATAGTTTTTTGTTTGAATTCCCTCCTCCCTGCAACTTTAGAGGTTCCAATTTAGCTTCATACTCTATTTTTTTTTAAGTATTTGAGATCCATTTCCTCACAATTTCCAATAAACTTCCATGGGTTCCATACAAGGATACTTTCTGGAAATGCACAATATAAAGGGACAGTCAATAAAATCTGCCTCAAAAGGGTGGGTGGGTGTCCACCATGCATTTAGGTGTGTCTACTCAAGTGAATTACAAAAGCATTCTTCTCCCCTTATATGGTCCAATAAAAAACGAGGATGACCATTTAGCTCCAATGAAAGGATTCCATAGAAGGAATATCAATGACACCACGTCATCTTGTTGGGTTTCTTACCAGTCTCTTGATGACAGCAGCTATGGCACTGTACCAGTTGTTTGCCTCCATTTGATGGTCATGTTGAAGGAGAAACACAAGTCCAGACAATGCTCGTATCTGCAAGAAATTCCAATACAATATAATTCCTTTATTGGCACTTCCCTGGTGGGCCTTTTCAGTGACAATACAATGAAAACAAAATTGGAAATATCTATAATGCAAATAGGTATTAAAAAAGGAAAAATTCTTCATCATGTACAAAAATAAATCTTTATATAAACTCTATAAATCTGCAATCTAAAAAGGTCAAGGATCACTGCTGTTAAAAGCTCAAATGTTAATTTGTTTATTTTTAGGTGAAATTTTAAAGGAATGGTTGAGGGAATTATAACATCACACTTTCTTACTAGATAGTATGACTTTGATGCACGCATGCAGAGGGCTTGGCAAGGCTTTAACACAATTTATTGCTTCCAGGAAGTGAATTCTACAAATCGTTTATAATTGTGGTATTTACCATGAAACGAGATATAACATTATTTTTAAAACATGTTTAAGGTATCAGCCCCCATTCTCACTGTCCTTTTTGTTGTTTTCCCTAAACACTAAACCATATTTTCAAAGCTTCAGAAAAAGGGAACCTATCACAATCTAAATATAGCTATCAAACTAGCAGAGCTTTTACTCTTTTCAGTCACCCTGTTCATGTACAATTTTGATAAGTTATGTCAATTAAAGGCATTTTTTACACACTCAAGCGATTTTTTGTGCAATAATTTTTTTATTTTCATCAAGAGGTCAATTGTGGTTTTTGTAATGCATGTCAGCTGTGATTTCAATGTGACTCTGTTGTAATTTCAGTGTGATATCAACAGGGGTTTAAAATTTATAACAACAACACCATTATTCTTTACAGGAAATGTGTGCATGGTCTGTTGCAAAACCCCATAGATTTTCTGTAAACACCATGCACAAAATGCACTGAAATTGCCTCTGGTCGCAGTGCTGGTGCAAAACAAATTATATCAATAATCATCTGTGAATTGAGCGTAGCTATACAAGTCAAAACTAGACAGGTTTCTCAAGGGAGCAACCATAAAATAATGCACATTCACTACTTTTTGAAATGAGACTACAGTGTAAGCTCTACTGAGAGTACCTGGAATGCATTTTTCTTCTTGGTTGATGCAGAAGGAGCCCACTCTAGTGAAGCACCTTGCAAAACACAGCTACTTTCTGGTTTGCCATGTGGAAGACCAGGTTTCTATAAGCAGGAAACACAACATAACCAAATAACGTTTACAACATAACCATTTTAAAGGCATCATTGATCATCTCCCCATAACCATTTTACTTTCTTTCTGCATAATTTCTTTGCAACTCTGAAGAAAAGATACAGCAGTTTTTTTCTACAGTGAATGGACACCTTTGGGACACTCACTAGTTTCTGCTCAATACAGGGTGTCTCCTCTAAGCAGGTTCTAATATATTGTACAATAATAGTTAGTTATTAAAACCCTTTTGTAACACAGTGTAACACAGTGTAAGATCAAAGGCTGCTCATAGCACAATGTCCAATCAGTCAATGCATCAATCTGGAATAATCTGTAGACTTTGCTTTAAATTAAATGACATCACCGAACAATGTTAAAGAAGTCTGAACTGAGCTTTTAGAAGTAAAAGACCCTTGAAGTGTCCACTTAATGCAGGTTTTGTGCAACAAAATGGCTTATATTGGTGTCCCTGTCCACTTAACAGAGGTGTCTGCTGAATGCAGGTTTATTTCAGTGTAAATTATGTAAGAAGAAAATTTTGGGACTCAAGCTGGTTCCCACTTAATAGAGCGTGTCCACTGAAAACAGATTTCAATGTATAGCAAAACTGGTACATGACAAAAAGGAGTATTAGTAGTGATTGGTAGCCAAAGCCTTCTGAATTTTGCAGTGCGGCACATGACCAATATTTTCCGAATACACTAATTAAATAACACGTACAGCTGTACATCCTAACCAGGGCTGTCAATAAGGGCTGTACCCCATAACACCTGCTACAGCCGAGTATGTTTGATGGACCCTTGATGTTATGGGTGAACTTGCCTCTAGTGGATACAATTCACCCATAAATTAACAAGTTTGTTAGGGGTGTGAAGATTATGGCTACAGGTAACTCAAAACTTAATGACAGCCCTGCTAACCTATGTTGTGATAAATTCTTTGTTGCTGCTGCAGAAAGCAAAAATATTGGCAGGCAAGTCAGGATGTCAACCTCTAAAACAAAACCCTTTAGTGTGAATAATCAGCTATTAACTGTACCGGAGTAGCTGCTTTTTGGTCCTTGTAGAACACCAGATTTGCCGAAAAGAGTATGACAAAGGTTGGGGTCCAGGACACTTTTCTGAAATCACACCACATGTAATGATTTAATTGACATAGTTGAATTTCACTCAAAGTTGTTTAATTTACCCTCTCCTGAGTGAATATCAACAGTTTTAAGAGTTTCTATTCCAGATCTTAAGAATTGTAGTGAGGCATGCAAAACATATACTGCACCACGGCTTGACTAGTGGAAATCTGGCTAGTTTAAATAATGGTTTTGGTCGGCAAAATCTGGGATTTAACCAGCCAGTATGCTAGTTCTCAAGCTCTGCAGTTAAGAATTTGTCTATGAGTATATAGCAGGACTCAAAAAAAGTGCTCTCCCATTGTCCTAGACAAGCAGATTTTCCTTCTGGACAAGTAACTTGACATTCTCACTTGCCCAATGGGCAAGGGATCAGGCAAGTCGTCTGCCAACTAAATCATTAAAAGAGCAAACTAAGACTTGCCCAAGGCAAGCAAATTTGAGAGCAACTTGTCTCAAGGGCAAGCTAGAATTCAAGTTTTTTTCGAATCCTGATACAGCCTATGCCATATATCATAATGGTGTAAAATATCCATCTGGAGGATCCTGAGCGCTTATAAAAACATCGCTATCAGAATCAGAGTTTTATTCTGACTGCTTTTAAGAATTTAGGAGTATGAAATGACACTTTGTAAATTTCAAAGTTTCTGTTCATGACACTCTAGGAAATTTCAATCATCAAGTCAATACTTACTTGACCTTCTTTCCACCTCCCTCAATCATTTTCTTTCGATTTAGTACTCCTTGTTTTTCTATCTCCTGAAACTGGAAGAAAAACCAAATCCTCCCTTGATTTACAAATATTCACCTTGGGTAGTTAAAGTTGATTAAATTCAGAGGTCAGACCTACATGTAAGTACTTAAAAGAATTACTCAAGGACATTTTAAGGACAATATTTAAGGACTCATCTCCCTCAGAATCACAAGTAAAATTTGTTTAGGTAGAGCGGGGGCGGGGGGGGG